CCTTTTACTGGTGCACACTCACACTACTAACGCAGCGCTCCGATCCAATCAGAACTCGTGCGTGTCTGTAAGACGGAGAGCGGGGCTGCGAGGCACGGACCGAGGTGTCCGGTGCTGACCAGTATCAAGTTCAGACCAGTTATCCCCAAGTTAATACCCACTCTAGCTATTTTTGGGCTGTTGGCTCTCTTATGTAATCCATCACGTTTCTTCTAAACCACATTCCCAATCACCAGCTTTTTTTTGTACCATCAGTTGTTCCTGTCATCCAAAGGACTCAATTCAGAGCAGCATATTGCACAAGGCCTCTATTTAAACTACTTATAAAAAGTTATAAAAATGTATTTTCAGCTCTGTTTGGAAGATGGTTTCCGTTTTTAAAAAATGCACGCGGGTCTATTTTTGGTTCCAGTAAACCATCCTAACTGTAGTCCACAGCCCACAAATTGAGTCTAAAATATCAGGGATAAGATTTTGGCATCTGACGGTTTGCGGAACAAAAATAAATAAATCCTCCGATTATGAAATGAGCTGAGGTTTCACAGACAAAAATAGATTCAGGATTGCAGCGAAAATCAACCAGACATCAGTGACTGATTTCCAAGTCCATGAAATGCCAAGAGAGGCAAACCAAATATATTATCATCAAGAAATATAGCCTCACATATTTGCAAAAAACATTTCACTTGGTCACACAGACTGGACACCTGTGTGAAGGAGGTCATGGCACGTCCAGTTTATTGACCTTTTATTCCCTTTCCGGACAGAGGGTAGAACCTCTGACTGGAAAATGAAACCGTGAAAAACAATTCTGCGATAAGTGAATTTATCAGATGACCCAAATTAAATTAGGGTGTGATACTGAATTCTGTAATATGGCCAAAATGATGTTTTTTTTGTTTTTTTTCATGGCAAAAAGAAAACCACTTCAGAGTTTTCTCAGTCGTGGTCACAGACCATGCAGACTACGGAGGCCTCAGGCCTTACTTCGCTTTTCTTGGAATGCAATGAGTAGCTTCTATCAAAATGTTTACCTGACTTCCTCATTGACTTCCTTATTTCAACATTTTGGCATTTCTTACTTGTTTTCCAGACAGATGTGTCCTGCTCTGTGAGCATCAGTAGTTGTGTTTTTCTGACTCGGCTGGTAATGGAATGTGACTTCTGACTGTTCTCATAAAGTTTTTTTAAAATGTGCCTTTGCAAAGCTTTGACATTTGCATTATCTTGTCCAAAAGCAAACTGAATTAACTGAATGTTACTTTTGAATTTTTCATTTCATAAAAGTGAAATATGCTTAAAATGTGATCTATGACACATGAGCAGAGAAAATTCAATCTGCTCAGGATTCTTACTTGGCACAAATTCTTTACAGTTTCACCTCGGTGATGTCTTTTGTCCTGCGCTGCTCACTCAAAACCTCTGACAAACGGAGACCGGCTGAGACGCAGGCAAGGAAAAGGTGTCTTGTGACCGAGGCAAGTTTATCTGCAGGTATTCAGAGACGCAGGAGAGCGCTATATGTAGGGCAGATTTCCAACTGGGCATTATTCAACCCTAAATATAGAGCGGACAGAAGTAGGCTGAGCAGAGAGCGCTGCCAAAAACCGGTTAGAAAGGAGCTGCGAGGTGTGGCCTTCCACAGAGTAACGAGGCAGGTTAGACACACTTGCTCTTTTTATGCTGTCTACGATGTGCTTTCCTCCTGTAAATACTCAGTTCCTTCCTTCAGTTCTTAGAAATACCCACATGTAGGAGGCATGCTTGTTACGGTAAAGAAGTGTTTTCTGCTTTGGGTGGAATGAGGTCAACGTGGAAGCAAATCAGAGATAAAGACAAGTGCGTTGGGGGATTTGAGGAGTTTATCAGACATCTTGGGAATAAACTGAACATGAAGCTGTAGTTTTGCTTTAAAGGGCAAACGCAGAATACCTTTTCATAACAGAAATTCTCCTCGAATTAGGTTGAGAGGAAGACACATGGCCGCTCTGTTCCAGTGTCTAATTGTTGTGGACTAAAGGTTGGGCTGAAGCATTGATCTCGGTTATTTACAGTGAATTTTATGGTGAGACTTTCCATTTTGCTTTAACAGAAACGTGAGACCTTGTCAAAACAACACAACAATGCAGCAGTATTGATTTCAAACTGACACCCCAACCCCACACAGAGGAGGTGCTGCGGCGATGTGTCATCTGTTACTTTCAGTTTCACCCTCACGCTCTGTGAGAGATGCAGCCTCTCCTTTGTGTTCAGAACTTCTCGTTCGGTTCGAATTCAAAATTACCAAATTAAAGTATCAGGAAACATCACCAAAAAAGATGATGTGCGTAAGAATTGCAGCAGAATGGATTAGTTTCAAAACTGTAACAAGACAGTAACGTTCAGGCTGAGTTCTGGAAGACTGTCCTCAGCTTCATTCCTGGCATTAGCTGGACAATCCTCTGACTGACCCCACCTACTCCCCCAAGTGCTGACTAATGGTTTTCTGGGAAAATCTGGCCTTAAAGCACACTGTACAAACCCAGTTTGGTGTATCCTGCTATTCCTTTTCTCTTGCTCTCTCTCTCCCTCTCTGTCCATGCCCTCCCTTCAATCTCTCTCCGGTCCCGTTGACATCTGGTCAGACTCAGACCCGACTCGGCCACCGCCCTTCCGGTGCCGGCCTGCAGAATGAGAGCCGTGCCATCGTTCACACGCTGCCGAGGCAAGACTCAACTAGCTTCCACGCGCTCAGACCCAGAAACACCTACGCCGGATACCTCACAATTACCATCAAAGATGCATGCCTACATTCCTGCTCGGGGGGGATGTAGGTCAGCTGCAGCTTTACTCGAGAGAGAGAGGGGGCAGGCCTGAGAGAATGACAGAAATATGGAGCCGTGCATGATTGTGATTTATTTTTCCAGGCTGTTCCATTTCTCAGGAGGACGGTCTTCACAGCAGATTAACGATGCGATATCTCTCTACAACTCAGGGGGTGGGTGGAGTTTTTTTTATAAAGCTAACAGCTGCCTATCAATACTTCCTTGTGTGGGCCTACCAGTAAATGATGTGGACTTTAACATGCGCTCAAAACAGCCCGTTGACATCCTTATTCCTGTCTCTGACCGGCTTGTGTCAGGTCAACAGCGCACTCGTTGGAGAGCGTTTTCTGAAAAAGATCAGGTCGTTTTTGCATGCAAAATGGGAGCAGGTTTTTCTCCGCCGCGCCGCCTCTGTGCTGCCTCCACAGCCCACTTTGCAGGCACGCGCTCACATGCTCACCGTGTAATGTTCATGACTCGTCGAGAAATTCCCACTCCTTGCTTTGTTATAGACGGTGGCAGTGAGTCATCACGGCACATTCATCTGAGGTGTGACATTCTGGGACTGGCTGCTGCTGCCGCTGCTGTACGTGTGGAAGAAACAGGTGGTCGGATCCTAAGTGTCTTAGGATCTAACCACCAAAAAAAACACACCAAAAAACCCAATCCATCTTCGGATGTGAATTCAAAGAAGTGTAATTAAGAAGCACTCAGCTGGTTCTCTTTCCATACAAGAAACCTGTTCTGTACTGTACTGTAATATTAAATATTCTAATCAAATTCCAATGAGGATCATCATCAAACCCGTTAAAAGGAATAAAGGCCAATCTCTGCCCAATCAGCAAAACACTCAACCATGTGAGTAGACACAGGACTTAAGCACAGTGTTTCCAGCTCACAGCACAATTAAAATTAGACCAAAATAATGGAAATACTCCTTTTTTCCCCCCAATATTTTGTCCTAATTAAAAACTATCTTTAGAAAAGAATTGTTTTCATTCAGAAAGCTCTGGAGCAGCCGAAACCTCCCACCAATGTTTTAACATCTGAACATAGTTTGATTACTGTATAAACCATCTCAGGCTTCCAGATCCCAGATCATAAGCCTCTTCTACTGTAAGGGACACAATTTATGTTTCCCTCACTGATGTACAAGATTATTTTTGGACAGAGGGCCAGGCCATAAATACACTAAGCATTCCTGGGTCTGCTCTGTATTTGTTTTGTTTTTTTCTTGACATGAGCTGTCTGTAGAGACCACTCCGGTGCTATGAGCAGCATTAACAGAGTTGTGTTGAAAAAAACAAAAAAGGAACAGGAGCTAAATTCTGATTAGTCCCATTAACATCAGTTTGAGAGATGTAGCACATTTGCCAATAAAAACATCTGGACAAGGAGAGAAGTGCAACATGGTTTTATTGTCAAACTGGTAATTAAGACATGAACTTGATTAATGCCATATCAAATCTCAAACTCCGCTGTAGTAAAGTGCAGGTTCAAATCAAGTTGCCCTGGGTGTCCTTGTACATTTTCAACGTCTGGTTCTGAACTGCAAAATTAAATCCTACAAATTATGAAAAGCCCTTTTTATTTTGATTTTTTTTTTTCTGACCCACACATCAGAAGCTTCTGTGCAAACAAGATCATTTACAAAGCCTCACCATTCTGTGCCTCGACGCGTAGATGGCCTCCAGCTCTCACACGGCGGGACGACGGGGTGCACAGAACCAACAGAGCCTTTTTCCAGCTGTAGTTTGGAGTGGAGGAGCCGCCTGACTGTAGTCCGTACTCTGCTGCACATGCACAGCGGACTAAAAAAGGTGGAAAGCTTCCAATTGTCTTTTTGATTTAAAGATCAGCCATACACGATCGGTAAGAGGTCACTTCTGTGTGCAAGCCCGCGCTCTCCAGCGGCCGTAGACAGTTTGGCCGCAGTGGTGTTTATTTTTTTTTTTTTTAGTGGCAGTCATGTGCAATGTGGAATCTCCATGAGCGCCGCTTCGCTAAACTCCTGCCCTCGACTTTGTGTAAGCCCATTTGAACCAAAAACAAACCAAAAAAAAAAAAATCACTCTGCATCTCAAACACGCGCATCGTGTGGAACTCGCTCTTTCACACAAACACACAGTCGTTCAGGTTCATTCACACTTCATACAACAATCCGTATAATGGTTTTACACCCCCCCCCACCCCACCCCCATCCCACCTCCTCGACTGAAGAAGGTGGAAGCTAAAGGAAGCGGCATCAATGAGGTAAACACCAACGAAAGAAAAAAAAAAAAAAAAGAAGAAATTTAAAAAATAAACCCACTCATGAGATATTGCACAGACAAGTGCCGGCACAGAATACAACAGTCTCTACAACAGCCCAGCCTGTGCATAGGAAGAATAAAGCACTTACGGTGTTCGCTCGCTCGTTCGCACACGTTAACCCTTTCTTGTAAAGCTCTGTTTGTACGCGTGAGGGAGAACGACAAAGTGGTCTGGAATCCACGCCACTCGGCAGATATCCAGACTTGTATGACAAAAAACTACATGTGTTGTAAACGTACAAAAACTTAACCCTAACGATGACTGAGGAAGGGTCCACGACTGTTGGCAGCAGTGATTGGACAACCCATGAACAAAAAAAAAAATAAAATAAGAAAAACCAAAAAAAAAAAGAGGAAAAAAATAAAAAAAACACCAAACCTGAAGTCCCGGCAAAAGCAAAAATGCAGGCAACGTTGAGACTTGGTTGGAGCCAGCATGGAGAAAAATCTCTCAAGTTTCATTTAATAAATAGCATTGTGGAATATGGGGGTGGGGGGAATCTTCCTCAGGCAAAAGCATGTGGATCCCTCTGCTCAGTTCATCCTGAAAATACAGCTAAGTTTGTCCATGTTGCTCTTAATACATCCCCACAGCGGTCACTGCTTCCTCCGTCCAAACCAATCATTTTTAAGTCCATCCTGGTTAAAGGAATACACACATTTTTCCAAGTTCATACTCTCCAAATAGTCACATTTTGCAAACCTAACCCACGCAGTAGTCTTTGCTTCTTAAACTCTGTGCGCCTACAAAGCTCCTCCACACGTTTGGCCGCACATCCAGGCCTCCTCTCACCTGTTCCGACCCCCGGACAATCACTATCTGTGGAGTAAGACGAAGGCTTCTAGCTTCTCGGGAATGTTTCCCCGGTAGTCGAGGCTGTGCTTGATGATGGCCCTGGCAGCGAGGCACTGCAGCGTAGTGTGGTTGATGGGCTGGATCACATTCCTGGCCAGCTCCTTCTCGTCCAGGAGGTCGCAGGCCGTCTGCTGGAAGGCGTTGGTGCTGTCGAAGTGAGTCCCGCACGAAATCAGCAGGTTCATGATGTCGGGGTGGCCGTTGGAGGCGGCTATGTGCAGGGGGCTGGCGGGGACAGGGGGACATCCGTTAGAAGAGCACAGAATGATGAAGCCTATCTCTGCACAATTATTTTTTTCTTTCAATAAAATAAACGAGAACAAACCTGTTGTCATCTTCGTCTCGGCTATTAACGTCGGCCCCACACTCGAGCAGGATGGAGGCCACCGTTAGGGAGGGGAACTTGCAGACGGGATAGCGGCCCACACAGGTGGTGTTGCGGTCCACGGCCAGGTGCAGGGGGCTGTAGCCGTTCTTTCCACAGGGCTGGAGCTTCAGGAACCTGCAGGAGTGAAAGACGGGAAACCATCAGTCACAGAATACCAGCCGGTAAAACGATTTGAGATCATCAGACTGACCTATAGATGGTCTCCTTCTTGAAATGGTCCTGCTCTGAGGTACATGGCACTTTCTCCAAAAGACAGATCAGGTGCAGGATGATTGAGAGGGCTTTGCTCAGCTGAGCGGGGTCGGGAGGCATCGGCCCGCTTTGTTTGACCGCTCGCTCGATCTCCAGGACGCTCTTGGACAGTATCCCCATCAGGTCCTCAAAGGAGACCGACGTGCCCAGCAGCCCCTTAGCCCTGTCCTGCAGCATGAAGGAGAAGAGCTCTGCAAACGACAGCAGGCTGGACGCCGTCATGGGGCTGAGGGGGTCCAGGTTGCTCTGCTGCATGTCCAGCGCGTACTTCCACAGATTGATGCAGCGCTCAAAGTTCCCGGAGTCGGCGTAGACCGCGCCTCGGTAGCGGATGTAGTAGGAGGTGTCCGGATGCTGCGGGCCCAGGATCCTCTCCCGGATGAGCAGAGCCTGCATGCGCATCTCGTCGGGGTCTGATATCAGGCCGTCCAGCTCCTCTCCGTTTGTGACCTGCGGAGATGATTTGAAAAGGTGAAACGCGTCCCCTCGGACACCGGCAGCGTGGTCCGGGCGTCTGCTCCTAAGCTTAAGGTCCCCCACCTCTTTGGCGTAGTCGTACGCCATGATCAGCTGCTTTGGTTCTGGTTTCTGGATGACGTTGTTGCTGTCCACGTATCTGAGATCCATTGCCCTTTTCCAGTATTTTAAAGCCCCGAGCAGATCTCTCTTCTTGTCCACGAATGTAGCTCCCAAGAGCTCCATGGCATCGATGCGCTCCGAGTGAATGGTCTGCAGGAGAACACCACCCTCTTTAAGCACCGGCGCTCTCTGAACGCCTTTCCGCGGACACGGCCCGGTCGTGCGTGCGAGCCCTACCTGCTGGTGCGTGGTCAGGTAGTCGACGATGTTAGTGTGGCCGGTGACGCTGGCGGAAAGGAGGGGGGTCATGCCGTAGCCGTCTTGCTCCATGGTGGCTCCATACTGCAGGAGCATTCGCATGATCTCCAGGCTGCCCGACTCGGCACAGTCGTGCAGCGCTGTGTTACCTGCAGACAGCACAAGGGTACAAGCCGGGTTATTTCAGACCACGCAGCCTCGCGCCACTCATGTCAAAACTTTCTCACAAGAGTTGGTAAGGTGTTATTTGGCGTACGTGACAAATGGCCTTGTTTACCGATCACAGGATTCTTTGATTAACACGGCTGTTCACACAGTCTGCATTTCCCTAACCCCAGGTTTATATACGAAGTCACAGGCCTTGCCTTAATACTGGGAACATGTGGAAACAATAGCAGCTGACAGCTTCAATTGAACTTTTTTTCCCCCCCCCCATTTAATTTATACACCGATGCGTTTCATTCCAACCGTGTAACAATTTAATAATCGTTACACAACGTGACATCACAAACCAGATCTTTTGCAGGTGTAAGATCCACTCAATATCAAGTGATTCAACTCAGCTGGTGATAAGCAGGGCTTGAGGGAACATGTTGGTTCTAATCTTTTCACACTGCTATCATGGCTATACTGTGCTTGAAATTACAAAAAAAAAAAAAAAAAATACGTGTCAAATACTGTTTTCCGACCCACTATTCTTTTTATTCCCCTCAGCAAAACAGAAGTAAAGATCTGAAGGATAGGTACAAAAGCTTGTCTTCCAGCTGACACATTCAGGCTCATTCAGTGGTTATAGATAAAAGGGGAGCATTATCCCCAGCTGAAATGGCCTGGGAAACATGAACTCTACATCGAGAACAAATGATCATCTCGTGAGTTCCTCCGGCAGGCTAAAGATAAGCTACAACAGAAGTTTTATCAATGAAGGCGATGAAGGGGAAAAAATCCCTCTCACTGAGTTCAGAAACCTGTTTGCAGGTTTATCCGAGCTCCATGTTAATTCATCCGTCATACTTTGGAGAAAACAAATCCCTTCGGAGCCATCCTAGCTATTCCCAGTCACAAGTGGTTTCATACTAAATTATTTCAAACAACACTCCAGAGTCTTCCCTTTCCAAGTAATCCTGCAATCTGTCCTCAAGTAACTGACAATCACGTTAAAAACAGATGGACACTGGTTCTCCAGTATTCCTTAAACACCATCTAAGGAAGTAGTAGTATCTTTTGGACACACCCAGACAAACACATCAGAGTTGACGTAGGCATCTTACAGCTTTCTATTGTGAAAGCAGAAGTTCATGTTAGTCCGTTGAGTCATACCAGACAAAAACATGTTAAAAAAAAAAAAAAAAAAAAAAAAAAACTAATCACGTGATAACTGGAGCTCTGCCACATCTCAATAGTCCCAACTAGCTTGCCAATTCTGTGGTTTTATTTTTCTTGATTTAAGTATTTACCCCCACATGTATCCCTAAACGACAAAGAATTAAACTCAACAGAGGCATTTATAAAACAAACCAAGCCAAAGCTGGGGTGTAGCAGACTCACCCTTCACGCTTTTCCTGTTGACATCGGCCCCCTTCTCCAGCAGGTACTGCGCGATCTCTTTGTGGCCCTTGTAGCAGGAGATCATCAGACATGTGTGCCCGTGTCTGTTGGCCACCTCTAGGTCAGCTTTGTGCTCCACCAGGTACTTCACAATGTCCAGGTGGCCGTCAAAGCAGGCCGCCCGGAGGGGGGTGGAGTTGGTGAGGGTGGTGCTGTTGACGGAAGCCCCGTGGCCCAGGAGGGACTGCACCACTTTCAGGTGACCCGCCGCCGAGGCGGCCCAAAGCGGGGGAGCCCCCTCTATGGTCTCCCCGTCAAAGTTCACCGAGCCGCCGACCTCCACGGGAGCGCTGCAGCACTCCAGCAGATACTCGACCAGGTCCAGGTGTCCGTACCGGGCCGCCATGAGCAGCGGCGTGGCCCCGTTGGTCTTCTCGCCCATCAGCTTGGTCACCTCGTGTCCATCTTTGTTCTCCAGCAGTTTCTGAAGCAAGCGGAGCTTTCCGTCCCTGGCCGCGTTGAACACGGCCGTCTTTAAATCCATTCTTGACAGCGAGTCGAGACTTTTTCGAAAAACGGTCAAAGGGTATCGGTGAAACGGCGGGGTAACGATGACTCGGAGCTGTGAGGTGGCTGTGGACAGGTGGAGCTGGGAACCCTTTGTTTACAACCACCTCCGACTTTTCAGCCAACAGTAAAACAGCTAGCTGACGTTTTGTGGTTAAAAGCCCTCGGCGGATGGTGACTTTTCAAAAGGTACAAGCCCCACGAGTTAGTAACAAGAATATTCTAACCGTGCCAACAACTCACAGGTTTGAAGTGACCTTTGATCCAGGGATACATCTGACGCCGAGTTAGCGAGCAGGCTAGTCAACTTCCTTGATCAGTTTAGCTAACTAGCTTCGCTAAAACGGACTACTTTTCACCTCTTTATTGACCGTTCACGCTACGCTCCTCCGCAGACTTATCTCCCCCTCCCAGAAGCCCTCCTTCATCAGATCTGTCCCCCTCGCTTGTCATATTTCCACAGCATAACGTTGCTCCCGAGACCCTATTTATATTGTCTTTCCGTGGGCCAAGATGTGGGAATCCACCCCCACACGTAATACGGTGTTGTTGCTAGCTTAGCCTGGAAAACCGACGTTCGCTCAAACGAGCCGGGGATATCCCCGCTGTCCAAGCCGTGTTTCTCCCTTACACACGTCGACGAGCAGACGACGGGTTTGGCCTACAAAAACGGTGAGTATTAGTCGTCCGTGGACCCACTCGCCAAGCTTGCACGATAAAAAAAAAATCTGAGCAAGGGAGCAGGTAAATAAGGGAGGCTAACCACCCACGGTCAGACCGGATGATCACGACTCAGTTTCTGTCAAATCACAATGCCAACGCAGTCTTTTTTCTCTGCGAGAGCAAATGATTGACGTGCCGCCGTCCAATCACAGAGCGGATGTCCTATGACGTAGCATTCATAAAATAAAGTAGCGAAAAACATTATTTGGTCTCAGAGCTTTAATGGAAACACAGCCACCATACTGAAACAAGGCAAACAAAAAAAGGAAAATGAAACTTCACAATCTGAATGAGCTGGTTTATACAAATACTGAATGAGAGAACTGACAAAGAAAGACTTGAAAATATCACTCTCTACTGGACACAAGAGGCATGGCCAGTCTCTCCAGACCCCACTGGTGACCAAGTGTCAATTTGTTAATGATGACTAATGAATGCAAATCTTAATATTTTAAGAATTTATTCCGACAGCTTGAAAAACGAACTTTGACGATGCCTGAGAGCTCTTCAAAAAGGAAAATCAGTGCACACCATAAGGGGAAATACCAACATAGCATCACATATCTAAAAGCAGAAAAGGGAGGTGTGGAGACAAATCCCCCCCAAAAAATCAGACAATTTTAAACTTGTATACAGTGGCAAGGGATATAACATAGACTTGCATGTATTATAATAAAACCTGTTGATTTTATAATTTTATTTCAATTTCTGTAATCAGTCCTGTCCAATCAGCAAAGAAGCAAAAAAATTCAGAATTGACTTCCGAGTTTTTTTGTATATATTTCAATACAGAAATTGTACATTTATCAAAGTACAAGCCTCACATGGTAATAGTGATGTGATCCAGCTGTCACTGGGCAGTCACCGGTGTTATTGATGTTTAAAGTACAAATTCTATAAGAGTTCATCTATGATTAACAGAGGTCTCATTCATGTATGTGTACACCAGCTATGTTTGTAGTCAAATTAATTAATAAAATATTTAAATCAGAGAAAGCCATGTTATTTCTTTGAGCAAAAATACCTGCTTTAATTACACCTTCAATTGTGGTGTATGTCATACAGAAAGTCAACAACCACTGTGATAGTGTAATAAAAACTGTGGAAATATTATTCTTATTTGGACAATCAGGTGATGAGAAGAGACAAATGACATCAGAAAAGAAGGAGTAATGGTGGTATTCATTCATTCTTCCTATATCCTTTGAAAACAATCCAATACGTGAAGACAGGAATTCTATGTGTTAAAAGATATACCTCGATAGCGTAGTTATCTCATTCACAAGCAGTACTTTTCGGCAAATTTACAACAGTGATGTATAAAACCAAAAGGACTGCATCAGCCCACAACATAAATACACCCATACACTTTAAAACAGAAAAAGCAACATATACCACAGTGGAACAAAGACCATGAAGACGGTACATTTTGATTGGTGGCATTTCCACTTTAGAGCACAAAATGTAATGTTCAAATGCATGAAGATCAGAAAATGTGGATGTCCCTCCCTCTGTGTCAAAGAGTCCCTAAAACCTGAAATTAAATAATCGGCTTTTAATTCTTCTTGGAGAAATCAAACCATGTCTTTATCCAAAGCGTCACACAGCACACGGAAACACAAGCTAGCTTTTCTAAGACTTATTTCAAGATGTCTAAATGTAACCCCTCAACCCAAATTTTAACTTTAAAACTAGTATTCATCTTAAATTAGATTAAGTATGCTCTTCTCTGTGTATTGTACACTCTCCTATAATCACTCATAAAATGACAAATCTGATTAAAGCGAACATATCTGTTTGTTTTTTTGTCAATGTTGTGATGTTGGATAAATAATTTTCTCCAACCAAACATCTTTGTGGGGGGGGGGAGTTGTTTGTAATGATGCGGCAGATACAAAAAAACATCCACAGCAACCGAACATTGTCCGAACATCTCATTTCAAATTCCACTACTTTGCTTATTTCAGAGTGGACTTTTTAGCTAAAGAAGGCATCAGTGCAGGGGAGAAAGAGTATAACAAGATGAAACAGAAATGGACAAAAAAAAACTTACCAAAAGAAAAGAGGGAAAAAACACATCTAGAAATATTCAAATGACTGTAGGTTTGTTTTAACTACAGAACTGTCTTTAGACAGCTTGAACTGTCTAAAATCCAGATAGTTACAAGCAACACAATCGATCCATTCTCTCTTTTTTCTTTTCTTCTACCCCTCAAACACATTTCAAACAACTTTTTTTTTTTTACTCAGGACTTGAAGTATAAAGTTTTTAAGAACCGCAGTGTCCGACTGTACGAACTGGTGGTTTGATATGCTCACATGTCAAATCGACACTGCTGTTCTTACCCACTCTATGCCCGCTAGCCCTTCTACAGACAAAGTGATGCATCACATTCCAGGAGTTCAGACACCGTTACGACCCAACCCGTGTCATAGTGGTCTTCTTGTCAGAAAAGAAGCTTCTCAGCAAGACCACCTGACTGATGCTGACCACCAGGAGGATAATGGCTTCTCCGATGGACCAGAACGCAACGCGGGTGTTGAGGTCCTCGGCCCGACTGCGTCCTTGGGCCTCACGGATGCGGAGGTGTGTCTGGTAGTCGATGACTGACTTCATGGCCTCATGAATAGATACGCAGGCTGATTCCATCTGGAAATGGTGAAACATATAGAAGCCAAGGGTATTACTAGATCTGCCAACTACTGCAAAAAAAAAAACAGCCATTGTCCACAAACTTAAAGGCAGCGAAAGCCACGCCACCATTAGTTTCCATCTTTATGACCTTCTGTTGTGTTAGTTTTACTTTAAATGACCAGAATGACTTCATATTTTGTCACAAAAAAAACAACTAGTAACTTGAACGATCGTCTCAACAAATTTCTATAACATCAATGAACACTAGAAATGTTAAAAAAATTAATTGCTGTAGCATGTTTGGTCCACAGTTACCTCATCCAACAGACTGAGTGTCAAAGATTAGGAAGTGCATTTGGGCAGGATGGTTTCTGGAAACTGTGTCTACAGTAATGGGTGTCAGTCTTTTTCACTCATGTAAACATGCGAACACAGAAGCCCGCAAGCCACACGAAGACCCATAGCTCACCTGTGTCAGAGCAGTAACTCTGTTCTCATTGGGGAACAGTGGAGGGTCGTCGCCAACTTGGAAGTCAAAGTAAACAGTCTTGTGTGTGAAGGTGGAGAACTCGTTGCTGAAGCAGAACTTGTAGGTGCCGTTCTTGGCTGCTATGAATGTAAAACTGTCATATTGCTTCTTCATCTCCTTGTAGAGTGTCGTGCCATCTGGATCCTCCAAACGACAGTCCACGTCATAGTGGCCACCGGTTACGACCTGATAATTGAAAGGACAGAAGGAGGAGAATTAATTGGTCTCTTCTGGTCTCCTCTCTGTTCACCCTAGACTTCAGGTATAACTCGAAAAACTGTTTACAAGCAACTGTTTGAACACCTTGTGGCATGATGTGGGAACAAACAACTAATCTTGGATATAAACTAAACAAAAGAGATGATTTTATATTTGAGGATGACCGCACTGCCTACATGTCAGAATGAATTGAGTAGTGAATATCAGACACCTGTGAGGCCGAGTTGACTGAAAATACAAAACTGAACCTGACTACAAAGGAGGTAAGAAGCTTGGCTGACTAAATGTTTGATCCAGGATGCCAAACATCTTCTGTAAGTCTGGGGCAAAGAGTGCAATCTGCTTTGCGGCCATCTGTTGGTGAAAAGCCAGTGACTTAAAGAGCCTGGACAGACTGATGAAGAAGGCTGGCTCTGTGATGAGGGCCGCTCTGCCCTATCCTTCGAAAGCTGTACAAGTCACTGAGAGCATTGTACATCCCTCTGCAACAGGATGATGAAACAATGAGTATTTTCTCATGGAGTTATTCAGCTCTGGTGGTATAACGAGCAAACTGGTGAATGTTAAATACCAATCTGAAAATGGAAGCACTTTAATATAAATACAGATGTACTGTCTGGGTCTTTCATCTATAATGAATCTATAATTATGTTTCAAAATATAAAACAAAAATAAACGACCAAATATAAGATATATAGTACTAATGGACACAGCGGTTGTTTACTACAATCTTGTGTCAACATATAATCAAGAAAACCTTAACGTCCTAACAATCTTCTATTAGAGAATGGTAGCCTTTATGAATCAATTATCTGACAGTAGATTTAAATCTGCTCATCAAGAAGCCGTTTTGATTCCGTAGTATTTTCTCTATGGATCTTTATCAGTGGGTGGAAAAATAAGATCAGCGTACCTGAAACTCAAGCGTACATTTGGTACCCATGATGATGTCCTCGTAGAAACACTGTTTGGCGTTGTCAGGAAGCTCAAAAGTTAGCTCCGAGCCTAGCGCCCACCCACAAAGCAGCTGGGCCCACAGCACCTGCAACACCACCCGAAGCGATCCGAACATCGTTGACACTGACAGCCGCCTGCTTCAAATTGAAACCTGGGGGAATAGACATTGCCAAACACAGACGTATGGTCACTATCGACCCTGGCAAAAGCCAAAAATCGCCAGCAAGCAAACCCAGACATTGAAACCAACGACTAATTATTAGCATACGGCTAACTGGCCGGCTATCTAGCGTTTGGGTTTTAAAGTCAGAACGTAGCAAAGAATTGATCATATTTTTCTTTGGTTTGTACACTTATATATCTGTTGGCATATATGCGATCAGTTAAATTCAAGTTAATTCAATCAAAATGTATATTCTCTCTGTCTGAATTACCTACTCACCCCAAGGTTCTCCTCACCCGGATGCGACTAAGGTGTAGAGACGTATTACAAACGTGACACACCATTGGCTGTCATTTGTAAAATCCCTCCTTCTGCTCGCCCTCATTGGACAAAAATAAAGAGACGGAGTGCTGCCGGCATCACGTGGGCGATGTCCACAGAAACCCTTCTTCCTTTTCACTACACTCCAACGTGGCTGTTGTCGAATAGGATATTGTGTAGATTGCATTGTCAGACGACTTCCAATGGGGATATAATTATAACATGTTGAAACATAAAATGAATTACATGAATTTCACGTTCTAAAAAAAAAAGTACATTCATTCGGTGATGATGTGGTTGTGAAATGATTCATACATTTAACAATTATTAACAATCAACAGCAGTACATCCCTTTAATGAGTAACCAAGAGGTGATGGGAGAGGGGCTTTCACTAGCTGCAATATTCCACCGTCTTTCTTCACTTTATTTTCTCTTTCTAATAAATTTCGAATTGGATTTTGCCGTTTATAATAAGACACAAACTGCCAACAATGTTAGTTATTTGAACAATGAGAGAGCACTGCTCACAAGAAGGCGCTACATTCACACCATACCATGCAGAGTAACTCACTTACTGTTGATTGTTTACAATGAGAGCAAAAATTATCAAGATCTCTTCATGTGACTATATATTGTATTTCATATTATTTCTATTGGTGTAAATGCAAGAGGGACTTCTTGTCAGATAAAGCCAAACCCCTGGTAAAAGTAACGGATTCGCTAACCGGATGAGTTGTAAAAGACTCTTCGGCAAGCCCCCACCCACCTGCAAAAAAATGGGACTTCTGAGGTACATAAATGCTTCAACAAACGACAGCTTTGGGTCACACAAACTCAATAGCAAGAATGAAACATGATTATTTTATTCTGTTTGTATTCTATGCCAATTCTCAATTGATAGGGCCACATTAATTAATATTAGTAATATTGCACTTTTCTTCAAATTGAATTCATTATTTACATTTCTTTTATAAAAAAAACATTCCAAAACAAATTTCTTACCTGAAATGATGTAAAAGTGACAACAAGATTAAACCTGAAATTCCTCTGAAATGTTCTTACCTACTTCATCTGGGTGTATAATTTATGATATCAGAGCACTGGTCTACAAATGGAATATGAATTGTTGGGGCCTGGTTATGGGGATGGAAGAGGTCTTTGTCTAAAAGTGACCCAGACCCAAGACACCTCATCTGAAGTGCACAAAAAAACAGCAACACAAATGCAAACTGTTTGTTTTGTATGTGCATATATTATAGGATTAATCCACTCCCTATTGCAGTTTTGATTTTTATTCAAATGGACCTGTTAAACTTATTTTGCTTATATGTTGCCTGATGTTAAATCTCTTTTTTCTACTGTTTTGATGTATTTGGTTAATTTAAGCCTTGGTGTGGTTTTGGGATCATGTGTAAGTGCAATTCGTTTTGGATACATTTGTAGCCACTACATAGTTCTTTGTCAGTGTTGCTCATAATTTAGTGTCAATATCAGTTCAATAGACGTATCTTGATTGGCATTTTGGCCACATTTTATATCTTCAATTGTTCATTTTCTGACCTCTATATCCTGCAGTGGCTCAGCTCATTTCTCTAAACGGCAGACATGGGCACTGTACGCCTGAACTATAATGTGATGTAACGCACCGCCCCAGCATTGTGTGCCGAGTCGTCTCTGTCTGTTGGGCGGCTGACCCAAAATTGAATTCTCGCGTGAAGTAGAAACACGAGATTACAGAATAGGGAGGGCTGCATGGAGAACAGAAAAGACATAACAAAAGCCACACATTTCAAGTAAGAGGCGCTGGTCGCTTTTTATTTATTTTTGTCAAAAAGAAGATATTCCATCCATTATCCACGCTGATCTCCGTTAAGCGGCAATATTGAGCGCGTTTTGCATGATGCCTAGTAGCACGTCTTTGTTGGAGGCCGATGAGGGAGAGTCCGAGGTCCCACCGCCGCTCCTGCACGCCTTCGCCGGCATGGGCCTTGACGATCACCACGGGACCCAAAGCCAGCCCACCGAACAAGCGGACGAGAGCATTCCCTTCCACCACCACCACCTCGCCCCGGTCTCGCATTTCAGCCTCGTAGGTACGGTCCTCGACTTGAAACCTTTGTCGCTGCAGCGGCCGCCCTCGGGGGATGAAGTGACCCAAACGGCGGCGCCGGATGACGAAGAGCTCGAAGGTGTCGCGCTCGACCCTTCGGGCTCGCTCCTAGCTCAGGCCCACCGCAACCAGCACCTCCCACCCGGGCCGAATACCCCCCTGATGCCGTCCGTCATGGAGCCTCCCCACGCCGAGGCGGTGCTGCGGTACAGCGGAGAGGAGCGGGATGACGCCGGGATTGGCGGCAGCGCCTTACTACCTCCGGCTAGCAGCATGGCGATGCTACCACCCGGCGTGTACGCGGACGCCGGGTTCGAGGCCGAGCCGTCCCTTCTGGCCCGACGAAAGAGCGTCAACACGACCGAGTGTGTGGCCGTGCCGAGCTCCGAGCACGTCGCCGAGATTGTGGGCAGGCAGGGTGAGTGGCCACGGTCGGTCTGGAGCCAGAGCTAAATTCCTGAACGCAAAGTGTGGACGAAAGTAGGTCAGCCAGGGGGGGAAACGAAATGCAAATAAAATAAATATATATTTAGACAGGCTCAGGAGTTAATAGTTTCTGCTTCCCGGGGTTCTCCACGGATAATTTAGCATTTTCAGCTGTAGCTTTAGCTTAGCCAACGCTCGGAAATGGGTCAACGCCACTCTTTTTTTTTTGTGTGAAAAAGTTCACATCTTAAGACTTTTCAAAAAGAAGGGCGTCCCGAATTTGCTCGCTTTGACATGTCGTTTACATTTGGCGTGTTTGGCTTGTGCTCCTCGGACAATGAGCGTGGTGTTAGTCGTGCCTTTGTCTTTAAACCGGGCTTGGCTTTGTCTCGGGAGTGGAACATAAAGAACGGTGTGGGTCACCATTGCTTTGCCACATCAGCTGCAGCTTATAGTTTGCCCCCGTCCTGTTTGAGGTGGGTTCACGTCTCATGATTCCAGTCGAACTCCCCTCACTTTGCGTGAACACCCATCGCATTTATCTGGACTTTTACCTAAACTGCTATAGATCCTTGATAGGGGAAGGGAGAGTGATATTATGTGTTGTTTCAGGCCGGTTGGGGGAGGGTGTCCGCACTGTGGTGTTGACAACAACAGGAAATGGCCCTGGTAATGATGTTGGACTCTCAACCACTGCTGAAAGGAATATTTAATTCATAAGATGAGAAACTTCTAAGTGGCATTGATGTCAGGAAATGGCAGTGCAATATGTAAAAGAAAAAATGGACATGACGATGTGAAACCCTTTTTTAAAGTTAATTTGCTTTGCCAAAAAGCTAAATTTATTTGTAACCTTTTTTTGGGATATCTTATCACTGTTTAAAACTGTTTGAGATAATATAGAGAAAGAAACACTTATTCGTGGTGTCACATGGGGTCCATTTAGGAGAGAAAGTTAGGTGCCTTTATGTTTTGCTGACCTTCAGCATTTCCTTCACCAAACAAATGGCTCATCTGCCAAACAATGTAGTTTGACATAAATTGAGTATTGACTATTAACAAGAACCACTTTAAGTCGTTTGTTTTTCATTCTCACCTGTAGCACCCAAAGGCACAGGCAAATCTGACATTAAAGTATTATATATGTAAGATTATTGGGGGGGGGGGTGTAACATGCCGAACATCACAAACCTGTTCTCATGTGATTATCAGCTCTAGTATGTTTGTTAATAACACACGTTTATCTTCTGAATGCGGTTCAATTTCAACCTTGGCAGTATAGTTTCAGCATCAACACCATGCCCTCCTGCCAGTCCTAAGATTTTGAACCAGGGCAGGTGTTTCTTCGTTCTTGAAGACACCCCACCTCTCATCCAACGGGCCTATCCAGTTCTAAAGTAGTTGGCGAGGGGTCTAGTCTTTAAAACAGACCGTCTAATTGAGGCAAGAAGTCAGAGAAGTCTAGTAGCTGCTCCTTAGTTCACAAAACCCAAGAAAAAGACACAGATTTGAGCCCTTTGAAGAGTCAGTGTGTTTCTGCATGGCAACATGAGTAAAAAGGTCAACTGGTTCAATGGGAATATTTCAGCTGCAGGGAGAACAAGTAACACAAAAAAGGGGCCTTATCAACAAAGTCCTTCTTTAATTGACAACTCAAAGAGCTGAGGCTTATTTGGTTTGCTTGTGGAATTGTGCACGCCACCTAAAAAAAACCCCAAAGAGAAGAGTCAGTCACTGACTTGAGCCTGTGTGTAGAGTTGGTGTCAATGGTGTGTGATAAAGTTGTGTAGTGTAGTTTTGCATGTTTTAAGACTTGAATCATTGCAGCTTCTTCCTGTCTCACTCTTTTAATCTCCCCTGGTAGGCTGTAAGATCAAGGCCCTGCGAGCAAAGACCAACACCTACATAAAGACACCGGTGAGGGGCGAGCAGCCGGTCTTTGTCGTGACGGGGCGCAAAGAAGATGTGGCCATGGCTAAGAGGGAGATCCTCTCGGCCGCCGAGCACTTCTCCCTCATCCGAGCCTCTCGGAATAAGACGGGCCCTCTGTCTGCGGCGACCGGTTTAGGGACCCCCTCTCTGCCCGGACAGACCACCATTCAGGTCAGAACTCATGCGGTTATTTACTCACGGTGTCACTCGCTGACATTCTGGTGCTGTAAATTGCCATGGACTGTTGTCATGGCAACTAATTGTGATAAATGTTTCTTTTAAAGAATGTTTTTTTATTGTATAAAATAAGGCTCTTTACAATTCTGTTCAAGCGTGCGTTGTTTCCATCAAACAGGTGCGGGTACCGTACCGTGTTGTTGGACTGGTTGTTGGGCCCAAAGGTAAAAAAGTTTTATATTTTGAAGTTTTTGAATATACAGAAAAGAGCATTAAAGAAAAAACAACTTTAACAGTGGAACAACAAACTTTTAAAATCCAACTTAGCCAGGTGTACGAAGTAAACAAGATAAGATGATTCCAAATCCTTATTATTGCAGCCCCCCCCCCTATTCTTTGTTGCGTCCCGTTGTGAATCCAGTTGAGCCCTCTCTTAACGGCGTTTTCCCTCTCTCTCTCAGGGGCCACCATCAAGCGGATCCAGCAGCAGACCCACACCTACATCGTCACGCCGAGCCGCGACAAGGAGCCCGTGTTCGAGGTGACGGGCATGCCGGAGAACGTGGACCGGGCGCGGGAGGAGATCGAGGCGCACATCGCCCTGCGCACGGGCAGCTGCGGCGGCGTGGAGGCGCCCGGCGTGGACAACAGCGACTTCCAGTTCAACGGCACCGACGTCAGCTTCGAGACCTCGGCGGCGCCGGCGGGCCTGGGCGAGGCCGGGTGGCTGCACGCCGGCCCGTCCTCGCCGGGCGCCGGCGGCCTGCTGCCGGCCAACCTGGGCGCCGCGCAGCGCGCCAACAGCAATATGAGCGGCGGCGCCAGGATGTCTTCCACCTACCGCAACGACAGCTCCAGCTCCCTGGGCAGCGGCTCCAGCTCGGCGGATTCCTTCTACGGCGGCGGGAACGGCAACCGGATGGCCGATTTCAGCCCAACCTTCCCGTTTAACGCCAATGCTAACAACAACAACAACAACAACGGCGGCGGCAGTGGCAGCGGCAGCACAAGTTTCTGGTTTGGGGAGAGCCTCCTCGGCGTGGGATCTGAGGAGCTCGTCGGCCTGGGAGGCGGAGGCTCCTCCTCGGGCTTCGATCCGTTGACCATTTCGACGTCCCATACCTCTCAGACCGCCGCGCAGCCGCACATCTGGAGCCCCTTTGTGGACCACCAGTCCCTCCCAGCCTTGGATACCTTTCAGTCTCAGGTAAGTAACTGAAACGGTCCTTTTTTTCCGTCTGCCCGGCCTCCAGCAGTGGGTTGAGAAGCAGGACCTTTCGTGGTCGTGGTTATTTAGTTACTATTGCCTTGGATGTCCACAGACCAGCCAGCCTGGTACACCCCGCCTCTCCCCCACCTTCTCCGGAAGCGAAGCCTTGGAGCACCCTCAGGCCCAGCGCGTGCACCGGAGGCCTTTCGGGTCAGCCGGAGCCCTGGACGCCCACCGATTCCCCTCCTACAGCTCGGCCTTCTCCTCCTCCTCCAGCGAAAGCACGGCCTCCTCCTCCTCTCCTCCCGACTCCTCCTTCTCCTATCGGCCGGGCTTCGGGTCGGCCGGGCGGGGGCAGGAGATGTGCATCCAGTGTGCGGATAGCCAGGTGGTCGCCGCCCTGGTGCCCTGCGGCCATAACCTCTTCTGTTTCGATTGTGCCACCCAGATCTGCCAGAGTCCGGAGGCCGCGTGCCCCGTGTGCCTGTCCCCAGCCACGCAGGCCATTCAGCTCCGCAATATGTAATTGTAATCCATTCATCTTCGTCCTCCCCAAAACTTCTGTCTCATCACACGTAGGAGGGGCTTAGAAAACTGACCCCACATGGGTGTCTGGGTGTTGGGTTGACGAAGGGGCAGAAAGGCTAGGTGAAGTAAGAAATGATGCGTATTAAGGGCATGGTTTGTGTGCTCAGCCCGTTAATGTGCCTGCTATTGTGAAGTCTTCTTCCTTGGTTGATTGATCAACGGGGGAGGGTTTGGAGCCCTCTCTGTAGCATTGGGAGGGATGGGAAACGTAAATCTATATATAAATATCTATTTTTTTGGTCAACATGATTTTTAGTTTACTTTTTTTTCTCAAAAGATTTAATTATCAATTTCTACCTTCTTTAAAAAACAAATCTACATTCAAATGGATTTGAAACGCATTGTTGGCAATTTGTCCAACAATTATTATTTTTAACTTTTTAAAAAAGTTTTTTTTGGTTTGTTTTTCCTCTTTCTAGTCAAGTTTTCAAAATTTTTACAATGCAGGAAACGCAAAATAAGAAAGAAGCGAGCATGTTTATCTGGAGAGTCACACCTTTGACTTAGTATCATTGAATAATACTCCTTTCTCTCGTGGGGTCCACATGCTACATTCATCCCGTCAGGCCTAATTTTATCCAAGATAATTTATTACTTTTTTCCGGCTACCGGTGAATCTGCTCCTTTTTTAAAAAGGATATGTTTACATTCAGTTTTTTTCCCCCTTTCCTTGCATGAAAAGTTTTTTTTTTTAACTAAGTGGGTCAAACCTGCAACCATGACGTTGCCACACTCCGATGGACACCTCTTGTTGCTTACTGGTTTCTGTTTTCCCCAGAATAAAACCGACGAGTATGTAACACCTTTTTTGTAGAACACTAGGATGTTACACCACTTCAGTATCGCCACGTTGCTTTCCATTTATATTTAAAACTGTTTACGGTAAACTTGTGCCTAGTTCTGCTCCGATAAAACAAAAGAAACAACCGGTCAAGTGTTGCTCCATCCTCAAACGAACCTGTGGCCTTTTTGGGAAGCCTGTAATTAACTCACAACACTATCTACAAATCCAGATCTCGGGCTTAAAGGAACACAATCTGACAGACAGAAGCTGTAATGTATTTGTTGCGTCTCTTAAACGCATTTCGATGGAACAAAGCTTATATCATGAGGATTCTCTTTAGTTTAGCTCCATGATGGGCCTCTCCGAAGCCTTTTGTACCCGTCGCTTTGGATTTTCAACGCCAAACTTTTTCCGGTCCCGTGTCATTTCTGTTTTCCTTTTTGTTTACATCCTCTGTAGAGGGAACCGTGAGCTGGTTTTCACCTGGAAAGCAATGCACATCTTGTACTTCTGTCACATTCCTTCTCCTTTTGTGTTGTTTTCATTTTTGTGGATGTCATATGAATGGCTCATCGTTCTTCCGTAACCCTCAGCCGTGAGCAAAAAGCGTCGATATTCCCAGTGATCTTGAACAAATCCCACTAACGTACAGATGGGCTGCTTTCTTCCTTTTTTTTCTTTTTTCTTTTCTTCAAGCCATCTCAGTAATCCACCTCCCTTTCACTTGAATGCTAATTTATTTGGACTGATCTGCCATGTGGCTGTCCAGTTGATTCCATGGGATGTAAAATAGAGATGAAGGCCATCCGTTGCTTAGCTCTGTTGCACCGCGTCTCGTCTGCCAGGCCTATGCAAAAATCATCTCAGTATATTAACCGCCCAAGGAAGCCCTAAGCAAACGAAGCTCCTGGGGTTTTAATGGTCGAGCTCAAACAAACTGGCTTAAACTCGCAGAAAGACGTGTCCTTTCTTTCTTTTTTTTAAAGACTATTTTTCCCTTCATAGCCTGCTTCAAAGCATTCATGACATGTCTCAGTGGTACACTAGTGGCTTCTTGTTTTATCAGCTGCTTTGCTGTTTTGTGCACGACTAAGCACAGCCTCCCCTATATCTTATCACACTATTGAGTAGTTGGGACAAGTACATATTTTCCCTCTTCCTTCAACATGTCTGTTCATCCTCCTGGAAAGTACAGAAAAGGTACAAAATGGTGGAAATCATCTCAAGTCTTAGCTTTAAACACCAGTGTCTCCAGACCTTTACAGGATCGGGCGTGCAGATGTTTTGAAGGGGAAGCAGCTGGGCTGGCTTCACTGTGGACCGTAGGCCCTCTGGTATTCGGCTGTAAACGGTATTTGGGGTTGGCTGCGTTGCTCAGCTGTTTCTTAAATATCTTTTCTTTTGTGGGTGATTGAGATATCTTGGGGAAACGGAACCAAACGAGTCCCAAAAGTGCAAAAAACCCCATCTGCTTCTGTCTCCTCGGGTCATCTATCCGTCCCATTATTTTTATCTCCCTCTGCTTCATGAACGGTCGATCCCTTTCCTTTTTGTCCTTTTTTTTGTTGCTCTTTTTATCCGAGGGAATGCAATACACGATCGGCCTCAGTTTTCTTGACAAGAATCTATTGACATTTTTGTGTATGTATTATATATTACTGTTAATGACTGATGAATATACAGAACTTATTTTTTATTTTGTTACATTTCATATATACGTAAATATATCTATATTCAAATGTTTACAATAAGAATTATTGTTTTTGTTTTTTTTAACCTTTTTCTTTTTCTTTTCCTGAGTGATCAAGTGAATGAAGAGCTGGAAATCCAGAAAATGTTGCAGGAAAGTGTCAGTGCTCTCTGCTTGTAGTCTAGTAATTAGTTTACAGTATTGATAATAGTATTGGTAGCTGCCGATAAACCTAGTTGAAAGTGGAATGTGCATCACAAGCATGTCTTTATGATTTACCGCCATTGTAAAACATCACTGCAACTGTAAAAAGGCCAAGGATTCGAGCTGCCTGTCATGTCTGTACACCACCAAATTAAGAACGGTATACTATTAAAATGTATCTTAGATCATCTATAAATACATATATTGTTAAAAGCTGTACCAACAGTTCAAAGTATTTGCTAATTTTACTACACTTTTGTTATGTATATGTGTAGGAGTCTTAAGGCATATAAATTCTTCAAATTAAGTCAGGAGTTTAAAAGCAGACTATATTTTATAACGGCCTTTTAAGTTATTGCGGCCAAAGCACTGATATTATATATTTGCTGTAAAGAGAATTTTAAGAGTTTTATTTTTCTGATATTAAAGTTACTTAATAAAGACGGTTTCGTTTAAAGCCATGTCAGACTACTGTGATTCTTTTATGACGTGATACGCTTGCTGATTCTTCTGGGATATTTTTTTTAATTTATTTATTTTGGATAAAAGACGAATGTATATGAGCATTGTAGGAGAATTGTTGGGCTCAAGCCTACAGTCAACATTAATCGTGATGAGAATGTTTGAATGTAGTTAAATGTGAGGGAATCCTTTATGTTCTGACATCAAGTGTGAAACAGCCTGATGTAAATATAGCACAAAGGAATCGGGTTTAGAGTAGAGCCACATCTTATTAGAGAGAAGAATTTGTTAGAATTTTCTCAGCCTGTAAAGATTTAGCAAAATAACTGAAAAACACTGCACCTACTTCTTTTTTGTTTTTTGAAAGTTGTGCTGCAGGATTGCAAACCCTGAAGATGTGAGTCCATCCACACCTACATGGATGGAGATGTACTTGGCAGCATGCTTCACAACTTGAGCCAGTGTGGTGATTTTGGTAGATTGTGTCCAGTAATAAATCAGCCACATTCTACCTTCCTTTGCTTTCACCGAGGGATATTACTGTAAGCTTTTAACATTTTGTGGATCAGAAAACACGCATGCATCTTATATGTTGATGTGTGTATGAGGAGATTACGTCCATGACCAGAACATGGATATGCATTAATACTGTGGGATTCATGGGGTGAAATGTATCCACTGTGTGTTCAAAGCCAGGATCATGTTCAGGGAGACACTCAGGCAAACACAGTCTGTGGATGTAAGTGTAAAGATAGCCCATCAACATATGACAAAAAGGTCTCAGGGCCCAGAAGTTTAAGTTAAAAGTGACATCCAAAGTTTTCAGCCTGTTTAATTTATGTTTTACTGTGTGTAGTGGTTATATAGACACATATTTTTGTTTGTTTGTTTCTTTTTTTTTGTCTTCCACCAGTTTCCTCCCTTTAACTTCTACTTTGCAATATGCCAGGTTTAATGGCTCTTAATGAATCACCATGACAATGCAAGATGTCTATTTATATCAGTGAAACTGTGTTCTTTGGCATTTCTCAAATGCACCTCAAGAAACAGGAACGAATATAACAAAAGGCTTCTGTGGAAAAATGCCTTTTCAAATGAGTTCTTCGCTGGTGTTATGTGCAAACAAATCCAGTTCAGGCTGCTTTTCTATGCCTGGGTCAAAAAGCAGTCATGTTCAAAGGAAAACTACTACTACCAGCAAAACTTTGGGTTTTCCTGGAAGCAAAACAAAAAAGACTTTTGCACGGAGGCATGAGAGGCCCCTGAGGCCATATCTCAAACTTGTTCTGACATATGATATGCTAAATAGCACATAATACAATCACTCTCATACATAATTATACTCTTAACAAACACAACTGATTCTAACGCTGTACCCTGATGTGATTTGATCTCATTTAAGTGTCATTGTTATTCTGTTTTGGAGATTGAAAACAACACATACCACTGCCGCTTGACACATTTGGTCATATATGAGACAAAAAGAGAAGCTTCATTGAACAGCGCCCTCAATCTATTACTGAAACTGCCCTTTAAATTTGTGCAAGGCTTTCTGTGCGGAAAATCTGAAACATGCATGGAAAGCATGAGCTATTTCCAGCTCACAGCGAAGTTGTTCTCTCACAGAGAAAAGCTCATTGCACCATCTAGTGCCTGCAGGCTGACAAATCCCACGGGCTTTCAAAGCAGCATTTAGATCTGATTCTTTTCTCCACAGGTGCTTTATTTTTTTATTTTTTCAAAATGACATTAGTCAGTGAAGAAACTGAAGGCCACTATGTTCTCGTTGGTCCTTTAAGACATTTGTTTTTCATCTTTTTTGCAAAGCAAGGATTAAAAAAAAGTTGTATTAGAGAAAAAAAAAAAGGAATCCTCCGGCTTGTGATCACCTCATCGTTTTTTCTTCTTTTAATTTCTCTTTCACCTTTGGTTTTCCCTTCACTCCACCTCTTACTTTTGTTACTTCCTTTTCTTGAACTAATTATCAAAGAAAATAAATATGTGGGGAGCTTTAAACTGTGATGAGGGCCTGGCTCTGTGGGCGTCTCGTTTCCCTGATGCCTTTGGCTGCGACCCCGCCCTGAGAGGAAAAGCCACCCTTCTTCAGCATGTATCCATATGATTCGATTTACAGAAAGTGAAAAGGACTGGGGCAGGATGTGGGGGAGCGGCGCTGGTGCAATGTTACATCACCAGCTGACCACACAGGAAGTCAGAAGGATCTGCTGGAACTCCAGTCCATGCACAGACGTGTGGAGATAAGACCCCTCAGATTCCTATTACTTTGTGACGGCTTCTCCCCAAAAAAAAATCCTACACCATTACAGAACCGTTGTCGTCAGGTTACTATGAAAATCCGTCTGAAGTCATCGGCAAATCCATCAGACCCCATTCCTCACCTCACCACTTCATGGTTTCCATCTTTGTTCCAGCAGGGAATATAAATACAATTATTACCCATAATAGTTTTTTTCTTACGGTTTGTTTACTTAAGGTTGCAGTCCTGTTCTGTTACAGGACAAGGATGGGAACTGAGGTTTGAGAAACAGATTACTGGTATTTATGTGTGAGACCCAGTTTGAGTTATGGGTCAACAGGCCTCTGATACAGAATGTTTGGAAAGGTGCTTCAGAAGAAAAAGAACAGGACGCCGTTTTGAGAATATCAGGCCGTATTTAATTGTAGACTCTCACTAAAGAAATACAGTATAAGTGATCTGAAATCTGTCAGTAGTCGACGTCAACTGCAAGTAATATAAAAACAACTGTCCAACTTAATGCTTGAAAAGATATCACTTCTTTTCCTTCTCCAAACAAATTCAGCATGGATCTTTTCCTGCCATTTTTATCTCCTGGATACATCTTAAAACCAGACTGTGACACTTTTCTGCAACAGTGCACATGTCATTGTTATTCAGCCATGTTAAATGATGGTGGACAATGAAAGACAAACAGTGGGCTGTGACTTCAGAACCACATATAAGAAGCAATGTCTTGCAGGGAGCTTCTATCAGGGGGAGAAGAAGGAACTAGGGCTCAGAATCCAAGTATTTTATTATTCTCAAACTCCTATGAGAGAAAATGTTCTACTCGTACTCAGCAGGTACTCAAACACGCTACACCTGAACAGCCAGAAGAGTTGTTCAGTTAGAACTACGCCTTAGAAGATCCAATTTGTCTAAAAGCTTAGCCCCTAAAATGTGAGTTAGTATTGTTTGTTAGGTTACAACTCTGTAGTTTCCCTCAGAGAAGCCCAGAAAGCTTCGCTAATTTAACTAGCAACAGACTTCATGATTGAAGCTCCCCGTGTAATGCAGTGCAGGTGGAGTACTCCATAGGAGAAAAAAAAAAGAGGAAAAAAATGGGGGAAGAAAGGGATAGGAGTCTTTTGTAAAAATCCATGCAACCATTGCCATGCATTTAAAAAACAAAAAAAGTTATTTAAATGGATTACTAGTAAAAAAAAAAAAGTAAGAAAAAAAACTTCAGACCAACCAAAGAAACCGGAAAGATGCGTGTGGAAGCTATGGAGGTGAGAACGTTGGAACAAAAATAAAAAAAGGTGTCGTAGTGTTACATACAGCATGTTTTCAGAGCAGTGTTGAACCCAATTTCTCCTCCATTGACTTTAAATTAACTCATTCTTTCCTGTAGGTTAACTGTGGTTATTAACTTAAATCTACAGGGGAAAAAGTAAAGTGCTACAAATATACAACTCACTTGATAAGAGTTACAAAAATAAAACCAAGAAAATATGTCAATTTTGCTGGATATTATCTAAAAAGAGAAAAAAAACCAAAAGCTCTCTTCTCTTTGTCAGTAAACTATACACAACAGTCCTGAATCAAGTAGTATATAAGTAGGCTGCAAGTCATTAGATAATTAGATACAGCATTTCTAAACATAATCAGATATTAAAAATCTGTAAAAACAAAAAACATTACAGTCTTAAAAACACTCCATACATCCAGAGCGTGGGCTAAGGTTCACTGATCAGACTGTGTACACAAAATTTATTTTTATTTTTTTTTCTGTTAGAGGCAACCCTGGTAGGAAGTGACCGCGGCTGAAGGCGGCCACTGCTCCTTGTGGCTGGAACTTCGTCCGACAGAGAAGTTATCGTCACAGTAAAACCATCAGTGTAAATATGAAATCTGCACACGTTAAAAAAAAAAAAAAAAAAGCAAAGCAAACCGGGGTTAGTGCAGTTATGACGTGTTGAGAGAGGCACTGCTGATAAAACAACCCCCCCGCTCACTGCTACTCCCTCTGGCTTAACGGGTGGATGTCGTCCACAGCTCAGACCGGAAAGCCGAAGTTTAACGTGACCCGGGCAAATCCTCACACTCGTTTGAGACTTGGCCTCGGACCGGAGAGTCTTTTTTAAAAATGTTGTTATGTCCTTTATGGATGGTGGGAACATCCAGCTTGTCCTGATCCGGCTGGGTGCACTTCTCCCCGTCAGGGGGCTGAGAGGCGGCCATCACTCATCCAGAAGACGTCCACAGAGTCGAAAAAACCCAAACGGAAAAGCGCCCGGACACTGCACTCACATTATTTCGTGTCGAGCTTCCTGCGATCGGCTGCTTGCTGTGTTGGCGTCTGTTCCAGTTCCATGGAATCCTCGGGTCCTCTGTGGGCATGGTGCTTTACAATTGCGCACTTTCTGGATGTTTCGTCTACCGCTCCAATCAGGATCGGCGAGAAGGCCATTTATCAAACACATAACTTCAATAGACGGCTTTGGCCAGACACATTTTGGGCCACAGTGAACACTGGAGCTTCAACCACACCTGAAAGAAATCTTCACTTGTGTTCCACTGTCCTCTCCGCCCGACGCAGGCCGCTGAGGAAGGCTTTCCACCGCCCCTAGAGGTGTGAAGCTGGTGTTGGATCTCAATCCAAAGGTTGGGGGTCAGCTATGGGCATGGTGTGAAGAACCTCGTCCAGTAACTGTAGAGCTCTGTGCAGGTGGATTTCAATCCAGCAAGGCGTCTCCTTGATACTCTGACGGGGATAGTCGGGCCCCCAGCCTTTCACAAAACTCATCCTAAGAATGCACAGCCTCCGGAGGTCATCCACCCCAATCCCAGCTGCTGCTGAGAGACCTGAGAGCACACAGGACAGAGTCAGGCGCCTGAACACAGCCGAACGGCGGGACTGGCCATCGCCAACAGGAAAATGAACACAAATCAGTCTGAGTATTCCTTTGACGCTTATGCTGGCTTATGCTTGACCGCGAGCGAAATGGGAATGTCACCCAAACCGAGATGCTGCCACACCGCCGCTGTGGACAGCAGTGTGTCTGCGGGGTTGTCTTACTGATGGCTGGAGCTATTCCTCCCACGGACCCGGGTCCAGGTATGTTCCCGGCCACAGCGGCTGCCTGTGCCGCCGCCGCCGCCTGGGCCGTAGCGGCCTGCTGTTGCATCTGTCTGTGGCACTGACGGAGGTCAAACACCTGGAAGGGAAAAGGGAGCGTTCAGGCATGAATCCGTATTTCCGCAAAAGCACATTTAAGATCTGAGCCGTTAGCACGATGTCCTCCTCCAGCCCACTGAGCAGGGCCCGTGGTGGCCATACCTTGATATATGCACTGGGGTAGATTTTGTGAACGGCGTCTCCAGGGGCGCGGCCCGCCTCCCGGTCCAGGTAGTAGCTCTGAACGAAGACTGCGTGGTCACTGAGGCAGCGCACCCACACGTCCCCCTCGCCTTTACACTCCAGCTGGACCCCTTTACCGATGTGAAGCCTGAGGTGATGAGGCAGTGTCAAAAGCAAAGCCCAAGCATGGGGTCCTCAGTTTAAACACACACACACACACACACACACACACACACACACACACACACACACACACTCAGCCTCTCTTAGTGAGACTCGGGACAACTTGCTGTTCATTTCCCTGATGTTACTCTCTGGCCTATTTTATATCAGCATACGTACGAAAATTAACTTTCACGAGAACTGTTGAAATGCTTGTCCCTTAGTCTGGAATAAAGGAACAAATCTGTCTGAAACAGGAGACTTTGATCCATCTAAATGTGTGAGACAAACAAGTCCACGTTGACTCGTTAAGAAGCAGCCACTGAATTCAGCTGAATAGCTTTACTGACACGAGTCTCCAAAGAAAACTTTTATTTTTTGCCTCAGAGTAAAAGGCCTTGATGAGAAAATACAAGCACCTGTAATGCATGACCTCATACAGACCGAAGAGGAATGTTCAGAGGACCAGGCAAAGTAACTCATTAGAATGACACTAAAATCAGAAAACCCTATCAAATAAAACCTTTTGGCTACAGATAAAGTGATAATTTACTCTCGCTATCAGTTTATTTCCACGGTATTTGGTCACTGACCGTGCTCTCTCGATGGCCTCGGTGCGATGGACATTACTAAGCTGGCCCAGGCAGAATCGGTCTCCTCCAGAGGGGTCCACATAGCCATCCACCGTCACCACGGGACAGGTGGAGGGCACCTTAAAAGTCTCCCCGACTTGAACGTCCATCTCAAAATACGCAATGGAACACCAGTAATCAGGAGCTGAAACAGGGGATGGAGAATGCCAGTGGTTAAAACAGTCAAATATTAAATGTGATGATTAAAGTCTGGACTATTACGCTTGTCTTTCAAACAAAGGTGACTAAGAAAAACTTTATATGCACTGGAGTTTGGAGTATTAATTGTTTGAAGAAAATAAAATCCTTTAACAAGACTGAATGATAGCTGGGAAATGTCAATCTAATACAAAATGAAGGGCTGATCTGAGGTCTGCCACACGCTCTCACCTGGATGACTGGATATCGGAGGCTGAAAAGCAAGCTCATTGTGGACTGGCCCTGAGAAAAAAGACGGGACGGTCAGTGAGGTCCTCCTCGGCAGAGGCAAAACTACCGTTTTTAGCAGGTCTGACTTACAGTAGTGGGTGGGATGTGGCATGGGGGGGTGGTGCTGTAGATGGCCGTTACTGTGGTGGGGTATGTTGGGGGGGAAGCTACTGCTCCTGGACCAGTTGGCGTTCGCATCTAAGGAGTGAGAACATTGAGTAATGTAAGGGGAGGCCGACACACACAAAGATAAGGCATAAAGAGGATGGGGGGGGCCCGGTGCCGCTAAAACTCACTGCCTGATCCTGCTGCCATCGGCGGGTAGGACGAGGTGGAGGCAGAGGTGGAGGCCTCTGAGGGTGGGAGCATGCTTGGGGTTTGAAATGGGTCAGGCGGGGCCGGGCGACCGCCGGATGGGGGGTGCTGGATGGTCTGGAGAGAGTGCCCTCCATCAATGGAGGACAGACTCTGCTGGCCGTCAAAATCGTACTCATCCTTGACAATTGGTGTTGAGCTGGGTCCAGAGTTGGTGAGGGTCAGTCCTGATAAGTCTGTGAACCAAGAAAAAACATGCACTTCACCGACCATGAGAGCTTCTCATCTGCATACATATGGATGACTGAGGGGTGGTTGAATCAAACTAAAGCGCTTAAAAAGACCCAAATCCACTTTTTTGTGACAAAAAGATACTGGAGGTTTTCAGTATTTGTTTTCAATCACATGCAGAAGCCTCCGCTACAAGTTTCTGTCGCTACAGAATGCAGAATGGATCATTATTTCTTCTTTTTAGCAAAGCTTTTCTTTCTCAGATCTACACTGCAATCAGCACTCAAATGCTGGTGCGGAGTTCTGTTTCATTTCGGCAGGTTTAAACAAAAAGTACCCCAATAGCAAGCTGAAAACCTCCCAATTCCTCACCGATGCCTGGAGACACCACTCTCTCATAGTGATAGGGATTAACACACACGTTGTCACACTTCAGGTCAAAGGCAAACTGGCAGTATTTGACATGCTTCAGTTCATTCTTGTGTAGGTCAGGCCATCGCCACAGCCGGGCATAGATCACATGAGGAAAGCCTTTACGTCCGGCCACCTGGGAACGACACAGAGAAGAGAGAGCAGGGCCGCAAGTTCAGGGTCAATTCTTCTTACACACGGACTAATTGATTACTGCTGACTGAAGACCATTGCTCGTTTTCTCCTGCTGCGGTTAACATGCTCAAACAAAACAAATACTACCTGATCTAACTATTCAATTAACTATCTCCTGACTTTGTGTGCCCGTAGTTACGTTTTGTGAGGTCAACAATTAGACAGAGGCGACCAGAAGACAGCTCATTGTTTTGTGCACCGTCAAATCTTATAAGCACAGCAGGTTTCATCTCATCTGTTGGAGCTTCTTACAACTGAACCATTAAAGCTGGAATTCAACAGGTTATTAGTGAGAGATCTTTTATTTTGCCTTGTCTGTTGTTGCTTTTGAACTATTCATTTAAAAGTGTGCTGCTGTGCACAATAGCAAAAATGAAGGGATGGTGATGTTCCATCTGTCTAGTCCATGTTACCTGCTACTCATGATTTTAAGTGTTAACAAGCTGAAGGAACAACACCCCAACTGACTGTTCTCCACCTTCATCTCTTTGTTAGCACATTTATATTTCACTGAGATGACACTTAATCTTGCAGCGATATAATTTCAATTAAGAGAATGATGAAGCACTTTTTAACCTGAAAAAATGGTTTAACTACACAAAATCATTTGGAACTCTTATTTGGTATGTTTGTTTTGTGTCATTAAACAAAACTTTTAAATGTAATGCCCAGGCTGTTCATGGAGAGTAAGCTGAATACTAAAACATTAAACATTTATCCTGGACTTATCAAGTCAAAAACTGATCAATGAAATTCTACGCTGATACACAGATCATATCCAAGTCATGCACGTGTACCTGCAGGCGACCATCAAGAGTCCTTTGAATGGTCACACACTTGCTTGGATGAGCTCCATTTGTGGTTATGGCTGTGATGAGCGAATCGAGCTCATCTTTCTTCTCCTTCAGTTTCTTCACCAGGCTCTCGATGGCCCGCTTGGCAAAGGTCTCGCTCTCACCCCCCTGTCTGTGGCACATCAGGCTGTGCACGATGCTCAGACAGGCATCGTTGCTGGTAGGCGTGCTGGTGATGGACATTTTTGCTCCTGGTGCTGCGTGCTTTCTTTGGTTGTGCGTGCGTGAGGTTTACATGGCGTCACATCATCCTGAGTTAGTTAGAAGCGGGACCGATCTTCACAGGGCAGTAGGGAAGCACTAAAGCCATAACCGTGGATGAGGGTGTGCAAGACGTCACCTCTTAGCCTCAGGAAGGATGGGGACAAGATCTGCAAGTGGAAGAGGATATGCAAGGTTAGGAAACTAAATTTATCTTATTAAACATTTTTGTCTGTTGCTAAGTTGATTGACTGGCTAAGTTGGTACAACTCTTTCTCATGGAGTGGACACAACATACACACTGCCAAACTTTTGGGCATAAATGTACCATTTCCACAGCAGCATTCTTTATGTCCTGTGACGTCATTAGAAAAGACATAACAGATAATATTTTTGAGTCTGGGGGCTGGAGGAAGGCACGACTCGTTAAGGGCAAGGTTATATCTACTTTATAAGATGAAATAAGATCAAATTAGCTTACCAACAACCGAATCCCATAATAAACAGAAAACCTATACATTAGCAACCGTGCAGAGAGCCCAGCACCGGTCCATCTCCGGTAAAAAAGTAGCAGGAGTGGGGCTGGCTGGCTAACTAGCGGCGCCAGTCTGGCTGCCGTTTGTTGAGGGGTGGAGCAAATAGTTCCAGCCTCAGAGAAATCCCAAGAGGAAGTGCAACACATACTTCACTCAAAGTAAAAGTTTTCGTCTGCAATTGGAAAAGATTACATGAAAAGCACTCTGATTTCTAAAGTCGGACATTGACAGACGGGCATTTATAAGCTTCACCGTGTGCTATTATATAATAAATGTATCACAGCCACAAACACAGGGGCGTCAAACTGCTAGCGTTCATCTAACGCTGAAATGCAAAACCGGAAATGTGTTCAAAACTTAATTTCCACTTGCGGTTAACTAACAGCTACCTGCTACGAAAACATCAGCTAGCATGTATGATTGTTGATAGCAGACTAGCTTAGATAGCTTGCTACCAATAAGTTAGCAGACATGTTTGTTTTAATTTGTCCAGTTCCACAGAGCTGGACTTTAATTAAAGTCGTGTTAGTATAAAACAAAGCATTAACATTGCAATGGAGACTTAAAAAAATAAAAAACATGGTTAGTATGAGACAGGTATGTAATTTAAAGATACAAAGTTGAAGTTTCTGTTTAAGTTTCAAGGTATGTTAATAGCTGACACTTTCCGCTACCTGGAGTTAGCTGGTGAGGTGGCTAGCAGACCAAGTTGCCGTGCCAGCAGTGAGTCCGCGCAGATCCAGTGTGCTCCGTGGATGTTCCCTCCACGGAAATTCACCCGATGTACACAACCATGCGGGACCACCGTGCGGCGTTTAGCCAAACACCCACTAAGGAAAAGAGCGTATCAAGTCAAACCTTATATTTTGTGTCAACTCCCACTTCTCGCACTATACCCCTCCATGGCGCGTTGCGCATGCGTAAGGGCTGCTGTTTGGTCAGCAATTAAGCGAATATTTTCTACAAATTTGGCACCTTATTGATGCAAAGCTATTAAAACTGCACATTTAAAGGTCTTTTATCATATCTATTGTGGCTATTTTTCCATTTAAAATATCTTCTAATGCTGACAATAAAGTTATATTAAAATGTTTTGTATACACAGTACTGTGTGGACAGAAATAGTAAAATGAACAGAGATAGAACAGATGGTTTCCACAAGAAAGGGGAGAATTAGTCTAATTTATTGGAATGTTTATCATTGAAACACAAAGTGGGACAACAGGAAAATATAAATCCTTGCTAAAAGACAAGATTTCATGCTGTATGATTACCTACACTGACCAGCAGAGAGCAGTAAGATCCAAGCTATGAATACTACATTACAATTAGAAAATTTGCTTAAATATTTTAGTCAATTTTGATACAAAATCGGGAATTCCTGCTACCTCAAAACACCCAGAAAAGACTACAGAAAGTTGAGTAAACAAATGATCTGTATCTTTACCATTAAGAAAAACTTTCATTTAATGTTCTCTCAAATTGAGATGCTGTAGACTTTGAAGAGGATGTGTTACATGAAAACATCAAAGAAATTTAAAAAAATGATACCACATACAAATGGTCACGACCTTTAGAATATAATTAAGCATATATATGAATTCCTGAAAAACTGGCTGTATTCAAGCATTTAGGTATAATTGGTTTACAACTAACAGCTGCACAACATCGAAATTATTTAATCAGAGTTCAAAATTGAAAGGTATAATTAGACATAATTTGCACGGCACCTGCTTCTGAGCAGAGGCATACCACAGAGGTTGATATGGAATTTAAACCCCCTAAGTCTTTGGCAAAAACGACCAACTGACCGTCAGCTGTCAGAAAAACACTGTGTAAACACTAGAGCTGCAGTTGATCAGACTGTTAATATGTAGATCAGTTTGACAGCGTTTCCTCAGAGACAACACACAACTGTTTGTCTTGATGAACATGTGACAGATTAGTCATGCTTTCAAATTCCACATGTGGCGTTTCTTTGGTGGGAAATTTTATGTTATTTTGATGTTGGTTTTATTGGATCGGCTGATTTCAGTTTGTGATCCAAACAGAGCTGTAGAGTGAAACCTTGTTAAACCGTGTTTGTAGTGGGCAAGCTTCACAAACAAGAATCCACCGGGTACACATACAGACAAATATCCTGAAGACTTCTCAGTTACAAGAGACCAGTGTTTCCTGTGCCAAGTACAACATAATCTCATTGATTACTATTGGAGCCTAAACTTAAGAAGTTAGTTAAAATAGAAGCTGAATAAAAATGCCTGAAACCAAAGAAGTAATGCCCCTTTTGAACGTGCACTGAAAAAGTGAACACATTACTGTTGAACTCAGTGGGAAAAGGAGTTTGCCAATTAGACGGTTGGCGGTTTGATTCTCAGCCTCCTCAAACCAAATGCTGAAGTGTACCTGGCACGTTGCCCCAAATACCACCACTGGGAAGGGAATACATGTAAAAGGGAAAGGCTCTGCTTAGTCTCCTACTCAGTTAAGAATAAGAAGAGCTGTTTAGCGAATGTAGGTTTGAAGTGTAAAAACACTTTTTAGTGGCAGTTGACACCAGAGGGGTGTTACCTAACTACAGTTTATTTCCAATTTCCTTTTCTGACGAACACGTCATAATGCAACACGGCTTATCTCTCTCACACACAGTGAACGGCAGCATCATGACGGTGAAGACAGCGTCCTGTTACAAAAGGTCTCAATTTGATAACGAACATAGCCAGTCTTGTAATCAGGATTCCTCATGACAGCTGCAATTTGTGATATTTTGTGGTGATCCTCCACATTACTGTTTTATGAAAACACTGTACTTGACATGCTAATGACTTTTTACAGGATTTGAACATTCGAACAAGAAAATGCAGTATTTTTAGAGCTACCTCACTTACGGCACTTACTAAGCAAATAGCAAACACTGATCATGCTGTAGAACTCAATCCATGGTACATCAAAGAGAAACCTTGGGTACAATTTCCATTCCAGAGACTGGCCTGATCAACACCTCATTATTAAGAGTTAAGTACTAAAAAGTGTTCTGGTTAACAAAGCACACGCATGGAAATGCTGTTTAAGTGTAAGCCCAAAAAATTCAGAGAACAAACATTTCTGTTGCAACGGTTTATCGATCCACTCGGGTTGTCCTAAACCCAACCACCGAATGTCCGAAAATGTTATTCACGCCTGTCTCTCCGTATTCCCTCTCTACCTTGAAACCATCACCTTTCTTCTGAAGTCTTAACACCACATGAACAGAAGATTTATCAAACCTGAAATGTTTCCACCTCGGTGGAGTCAGGAAATTGTCTACCCCTCAGGATGTAGATGCAGATGGAGGGATGCATGGATGGAAACAGGGAGGGACTGATGGATGAGTAAAATGGAAGAGGATGTGGATTTAGGGATGGAGGGTCGGTCTGAGATTGCAGGTATTTAGAAGATGGATGGATGGATCAGTGGTAACCATAAGAAAGCCGGAGAGGGAACAGGGGGAGAGATGGGGAAAAGGGTGCAATGAGTGAGCTGTCAGTTTGAAGATAAATCAGGCAGGCAGTGTCTGTGAGGATGTTCATGTCCACAAACACACACAAACAGATGTGTGTCTGTGTGCAATCACGCTTGAACCCACACACGTGCAAACACAAATACACTCACTTACACACTTGTGCGCACGCTGCCCCACGGCGAGGCGGTAAAAGGCCACGCCTGATTGGTTGCTGTGGGGCGATTTCGCCCCGAGTGGGAGAGCAGTGCATGTTGGGATGTTTGGATACAACTTCAGCCATCCATGAAGGCATAAGGTAGGTCACCACACTTTATCCCAAGCCCCCCCCCGCCCCCACCCCCTTTTTTTAACATGTCCTTCTTAACCTTTCCTTCCTCACATCCTCCTCCTGTTTTTTCAGCTTGTGTATTATCTTTCTATACTTTAACACATCTCCCCAAAGAGCCCCTCACTAACACACCTCTAAATCTGTCCTATCCATGTTTCATAAAGAGACAAAAGTCTACTCTGTAATAACAGCTCTTTGGCTTTCCTTTTTCCCCTTCTTTGATAATTCTCTCTGGCTCGATTTAATTTCCATCTGTCGTCCATTTCTTTAAATCTCTACTTGAGCTTTCTTGTCTTTTTCTTTCTTTTTCCCCATCTTTCCTTGACGAGCCTGCCTTGCTAACAAACATGCATACACACAACCACACGGGCACGCACACTTTGTATCCCCGCAGTGTAGTGTGCTAACAGAATAATTAGTCGCGCTTGATGTCTCTGACAGCTCTAATCCCTCTAAATGGCCACCACATGCCTCCTCTCATCAGCCCATGGCTAAACACACAAACCACACTCACTCAAGCTTGTATATGAGCGCACACACACACTCTCGCAAAACACTAGATAGAAATGTAATGTTTCCATCTGTTTTGGAACAGTTTAGAGTTGCCTGTGTGTGAGACATTTCTGTCACAAACGTAACATAAACGTAACGGACAGCCAGTGTTGCATCTAATGAGTTTTGACTGCGACACTATAATTACAAACAATAAATCAGTCGGAAAAATGTGATGACATTTTGTTTGAACACCGAGTTGCTCACAGTGAGCGACATTTTTCACTGATTGCAATCTGTAAACCTTTTTCCAATTCTTTCAAAATCTACCAAAATCCCCCTTTCAGGAAGTTACTGTGTATTAAAAAAGATACTTGTGGCACAGTAAAGGCATCTCTCTTGCGTCTCATAAGATACACATTTGTCATCGGCCATTGTACTCTGACATACTTGACTGGTGGTGCAGTTTTATGCCCAGTTTTCTGTAGCGCTTCTCATCTTTGATAAGCTGTTGCAGCAGCCTGTTATTGTCCTTGAACCTTAGTGTTTTTTTTCTGTCAATAATCCCAATTTCACCCTCTTGGATTACCTTTATGTATATATGTAATTATTTTGTCCCACACATTCCAAAAGGACGTCAAATCAGAGTCTGACCCTTTTAGCTGGCTACTTGAAAGGCATGTGACGAAACACAATATATATGGATATCAGATTAGTCAAGCTAGGATAAATGCCAAGGAATCCGACAGACACCTTGCTGTTTGTTCTCTCTGTTTCAGTCACAAATGTTTTCCAATCTATTTTGTGGCAACCCACAATTATCTTGAGGCCAAGCTTACTTAGCTTTGCTGACTTGTAGCCATGGGTTAATTATGTCATTCACATGCCTTGCTGACTTGTGGGGGCGTCAGTTATTGAACCTGTGGCAATGCATTACTAATTCGTGGCTGCACACATTTTCCCACCAAAGTTACCATGGGAGCTCTGTAGGATACAAACAATAAACACAATCTGTTTATTCTTTAACCCCATGCTTTCCTGGAGAGAATCGCTGCAGAATATATGCAGCGCTGATCCAATCTGACTCTTGCCTGTGGTAGAAAGCCCACCAGATTTAATTGTAAGAGCTTCAATACATCGGTGTGTGTGTGTTTAGTGGCTCAAACGCTTGTGTTGGTTGCTCCCATATCTTTTTTGTATGTGGGAGTTTATTTTCATACATTTGTCTGAGGTGTTGTGAGTCTGAGTAAGCCTGACTGTTGTGTGTGTGCTTGCGCGAGTAAGCCCATTTTCCCCAGTGTACCATGAGAAGCACCATTACAGTACAGCGGAGAATGAACGCGGAATAAATACAAACAGATAGCTTGCTCTGTTTCGCTCTATTACACTTGTACACTGTGACATTTGTTTGGGATTTATGTAGCTGCGCGCTTGTGTAGGTGTTTACTGCTTGTGAGTGTGTGTTTTTTTTTGTGTGTACTGTGAATCCTGCAAGACTGTGATAGGAAAGAGAGACAGAGCCATGGGAGGTGTGCAGCTTTGTGCCCCTCTTCTGTGGGATCCACCCCTGAGAAAAAGACTATCAGCAAA